CCAAACCACAGCACTGTACCAGCTACTAGGAAGGAAATTAACTCTATCCCAACCAAAACCAGGACAACTCTGTATCAAATATAAAAATTAAACAAATGTCCCCCCCTCACCTTTTTTGGTTTTTTTTTTTTCCTTTTCTTCTTTTAGAAGGCTGGTTGCAATTACTGTACCCTATTTATGGAACAGTAAAATAAATTGGATAACTCCTTTCCATTTTCATGCCAATTCCAATTGAATAACATGCTTTAATCCTTCAGATGATTTTCTGTATGCATGTTGTTGCAGCAGGAGCAAGTTTGGTCTGAGTGCCTTCAGCTTAATAGCATCTCCAGTGAAAAAGGTTGTAAACAGCATCTTTCCTTCACTGTTCCTTTCAGCAGCTTGGGCAGGTCAGACCTCTTCTCCTCATGTTCACCATCACTGCACCATACCTGTCATCTGTGTTTTAGCACTCTAACTAAAACTGCTGTAATATTTTTTAGCTGGTGGAAATATCAACAGAAAATTTTATATGTATGTGTGTATATGGAATGCAAGGGAGATTTGAGTATGAAACCGTAACAGTATAGGTTATTCATTATCAAGGTAATACTAGCAAGACTAGAATACTCAGCTGAATTTTGGAAAACAGAAAAAAAATGGCTATTAGCTTGTAAAGGACCTTGTAACTTTCTCCTAAGCTCCCCTTTTTGAGCTTAGTCCAAGACGCAATATACTTTCATCTGCAAATTTGAGAACAGCTGGTGAAATCCCCACTAAGGGTCAATTCATGGGCACACAAATGCATACTCTATTGTGTTTAAGCATCAACTAAAAAAAAAAAAAGAAAAAAAAGATAGTAGTATGTTGTAAGTTGTTGCATGCTATAACTTGTTATATGATTCCTCTGTTGCATTGTGTCACCACTGCTGTCATTATCAAGACAGAATAACAAAGACAGACTTTGGCAAGGTTTACAAACTTCTGGTGAGGATGGACCCCACTGTTCCCAAAGCCATCCTTGCTAGGCAGGGGAAGTCTTCCCCTCCATATTTTGAAGACCAAAAAACACCAACCCAAGTCGTGAGCTTCACAGCCTCCTTAGCCTCCTGCCACCTCCCATCCCTCCTGAGCATGTTGCCACGCATGTTTCCATAGCAGCAGTGGGACAGCTGTCCAGTTGTTTTATTCATGGTATAACAGTCTGAGGCAACTACAGTTGTCTGCTTGATGGCTCAGAGTTCCTGTTATCCTCACAAGTGTGATCTGCTGTCATTCATGTATTCAACAGCACTCCATCAAGCACTCTGTTATCTTCCATGCTGCAGCTAGAGTCGACAGTCTTCCCCATGTTCCTCTGCTCTTCAAAAGAAGATGAGCCCTTTTCCAGGGGAGTGCTTTGTGAGACCCCATGAGCTACATATAGCCTCACTGTTTAGCCAATATGAATGCAAATTATTCTTGGAGCTCTTAAGAGGGCAGTGTGTGTCTTTGTGAACAGTCTGGATGAGAATCTTTCAGACTTGACTCTTATTTTATAAACCAAATATTTCCATTCTGTCTCTTCTATTCTACTTGATGTACAAATATAGCTATACTTGGGAAGACCCAAACAATGTTAGCAAAGGTGTATCCCTCCACACTTATCCTCGCCCCACTTCAACAATATAATCTGGAATACAAACCTTTGTGGGGAAGTATATTCAGGGAGACATAATTCAAAGTTTCTTCCCCGTCAGTGAATATGAACAATATATCAATGTTCTGGTACTCAGAGCTGCCAGGCAGGCCTGTTCAGGTGCTTCTGAAAAATAATACTGCTGTGTCCTATGTCAAGTAAGGCTGTGCCTGTTCTCCCTAACTTTTCAAGGAGAGAGCTGCCTCTTGGGATTAGTGCAGTTATCCATGATCTGTCTTGCCGGGACTCTGAGCAGTCAAATAAACCAAGTTCAGTTGCTTCAAACTGCTAGACCATGACTAGAGGATTGAGACAGCTGTCCTAATACCAGTATTTCAAGAGTGTTCCTCTTTGTGTCACAATCTAACAACAAATGTCAGGCTTTATGTCCCAGATACTTGGGTTTATCTCTGGAAAGTTACTGATTTTTCTGGTTGGAGACCCTTTTCCCATTTCTTCTTTTCTTGAAAGCATTTTTTCCAAGTAAAAGACAGAGCTCAGGCAATACTGTTGGACTTAGAAAGAGACTAACTCTTGCTGTGCTGCTTACAAAGGTTCTCACATTGAGCATCAGACTGTATGAAAGAGTGCTTTTGAGCTGTAAAAGGAACCTACAATTCTTTTAGGGCCTCCCCCAAAGGTGACCTCCCTTTGGGATGTTCCAAAAATTCCTATTTGAAAAGCAGCCAGATGGGTCCCCTTCACTCTTTTGCTAGGCCTTACAGACTTACTGAAGTATCTGGGAGCAGTACTATGTCCAGAAGAGCTGTCTGTAAGAGGATCTTCTGCCAGATATGTTTTCAGGGGTGCTGCACATGGACAACAATGAAAGGAGGAGGAATGACTGCTTGTTTGCAGGTTTTCCTGTAAACATATGCATTTTAGGCAATACATCTCCAATACTTCTACTCCTCTTCCCTCTGTAATCTAATCGAATATATAGCTTCTTAGGATGAAAGGAGCTGAAATGACCGGCTGTTCTACCCCTAATTTTACCATATGTGCAGCACATGGAGAGAGGAGGAAGGGATGCCAAAGTAAAGGAAGGAATACAGTGCCAAAGTAAAAAAAAAAACAAACCAAAACAAAAAAGACTAACAATGCCAACAACGCTGGCACGTTTCCACAGTGTTAATGCAGGTGAAGATAATGAATTTGGAAGAACTGTTACAGTTTTGTTTTTATCAAACTGTTCAATTCCCACAGATCCTACTTCCAGTGAAGCCAAGAGGAATTCTGTAGCAGGAGTAGTGCTAGTCTTGCAGTGCTTATTGTGGACTTTGATCCTGCTGATGTTTATATTTAGGAGTAGGCATATTGGGCTTGTGCATAAAGTTAATCACCTGCGTGAATGTTTGCAGATAGGTTATCAGATTCTGATCCTACAAATATTTATGCTTGAACTCAACTTCAAACACAACAGTGTTCAAACTGAATATGTTTTCTGCAGTTTCAAAGCCTCCTGGTGAAGGAGGCTATCACCTACACTGTGCTTTGAATTAGGTCCTGTACTTTCTTCACTTGCTTGTACTGTGGTGTGTAGGGTACTTAGACAAAGCTCATCATCCTAAGGGGAAAGATAAGCAGAGTTACTTTCTCATGCTTCGATCCCATTTATTTGTGCGTAGCTGCATATTTAATTTAGGAAGAAATTACAATCTATTAAACATGTAAAGCCTGAAAGAGTAATTCTACCGTTCCTGAAAGAGGGTCTCAGTGTACTGATATGTCTAATACATGGCTTATATATTTTTCATAATTTTTATGTCAACCAAATTTTGAACAATGAGATTGAAATTACAAATGTGGGTATCATATTCAAGAAAATGTGCCTGCTCAGCTGTGTAAGAGGATACATGCTGCCTTTAGCAAATAATTTCTGAGGCTTTTCAAATAAAGCGGGAAACTGGTAATGGTGCCTGTTAATTGATGAAATAACCTATTTCATCTACAGATAGGATTTTCTTTTGATTTTGATTAAACAAAATGTCTCCAAAGGAGCATGGTACTTTATTTGTGATTTTTTTACTATTCAGGTCTTTTCCTGAGCTACTGGCATTCTTGAGTCCCAATCTGAGATATTTTCTTCAGGAATATGCCATATACCTCTTTGTACCATTGCTTCCTTCTACAGCAATAAACAGTGTTTATCATTGCATTCTCTATATATTCTTTCCATAAATCTCACTAATCAGAGAAGGAAATACTAGCTTTTATTCTCATTCTCACTGGTTTACATGCAATGAGGTGTCATAGGCATGGTCTTCTGGTCTTTATGATCTTCTAAATGTACTTGTTGTTGAGTGCCATTTTGTTCTTACTCCTACTGCTCACCAATGGCTTTCTCAATTTCATCCTGCCTATTTTTTGAGAAACATCATCAAGGTATGAAAGGACTAACAATGAAAAGGAAATTAGTAGCTGGCAGCACAAATTATTATTCTGTTATGACTAAAAACAGTAGCATCAAATGTGAAAATAGACTTTCAAATTAATTAGCATTTAAGGGAAATAGGTTTGGAATAATTATCAGATTGCTTTTAAGCGGCTATGTTTACAAGCGCATCTCTGCTTCCTATTAAGTCCTTGCTAGGGAAAAATAACAAATAAATACACATTTTCATTTTGAATCTGTTTTATGTTCGTACTTTTTTACAAATAAAGGCTCAGGAGAATAAAAAAACAATGGTATTGCCCTGTTCCTCACAGCTCCAGTGAAAGTGAAAGTTGCCTATTCTTCCCAAAGGCGAAGAGCCTTTTATTGCTCCTATATATGTGGGGAAATAAGCATGCTCTTCTCCATCTCCCATACTGTGACTCTTCCAACACCCCCTAAGTGAGGGATCTTAGTAGACTGTGCCAACAGCCCGTATACGTCCACTAGGACACCTCTTTGCAAGCCCAGTGAGGCTACTTCCAGCCTATTGCAGCTACAAATGGCTGTAAAGAGACCAGATCTGATCCACCCTACATTGCTATTCATACCTTAAGCACTGTTTCACATATCTTTTCTCTTTTTCCCTCTAAACCTATCTAGTGCTTCCAAAGTGACTGGTATAAGTGATCAGAGTCACAGAAGCTGTGCATCAGCTTCTTGGGAGCTCAAAGATTTCAAATAATCTGAACACCAGAAGTACTAAATCTTTTATTATAACCCATTTTCTCTTGAGCATTCTAACTCTGCAAAAAATAAACAAATCATTCTTTATTGTCTTCTTCCTGCAAGGATGTAATAGCTGGGAAGAGAAAAATAACAAAACTTGAGCTAGCTAGACTGCTGTTATGATTAATGAATAATCTTTGCACATTTGCATCTATTTTGTTTAATATTTTTCACATACAGATATTTCATCGATTGGAAAAATGATGTGGACAGCTACTTTACAATAGATGCTACTGAAGGAACCATTGCTACTAATGAATTACTGGACAGAGAAAGCACAGCACAGTACAATTTCTCTATAATTGCAAGTAAAGTTAGTAAGTATGACACAAACTGAATTAATATGCTAATGTGGTATTTTTTTCAGAATGTAGCGCTCAGGCATAAATACGCTGTGAAGAGTGCATGTATTGCCAAGAGATTATTTAAGAAGGCCCAATAAATATTGTTTTGCCAGACTCACTATGAGGTTAAGTGTGATGTTCAAACAGCCCAGTATAGTAAGGTTTTTCTAGTAGCCCTCATGTACGCACAGTTCCCTCAGAAGCTAAAAAACATTTTGTCAGCATGAAGAGCATGAGGAGCTGTATGGAGACCTTCCAATTCTTATTTCTAATTTTGTAATTCACTCCATATGAAATTAGGTCAGTCAAATAACAGGTCTGTCAGTCTGCTTTTTGAAGGTAGAAAAATTTGAAGACTCCTCTGATTCTCAGACAAAAAGTACACTAAAATTGAGTCAAGATTTAAGGCCCTAAATGAATCAGTCTGTGTGCTGCAGCTCTGCTCTTGTGTTTTGTGTCTGCCCAAGACTTTATGCCTAACCACTTGTTTTCTTTTCCTGTACAATTTGTGGTGGGTTTTTTTTTCATTTCTTGTCTTTGTGTCTTCTCCTGCATAGCTTTTTTTTATATATAAGAACTCCCTTCTTCTGCTGTATTATGTAGCTGCAGCTTTCTTCATTGCCATCCTTCTGTGCAGCATTCCTCCTTCATGATCCTGTCAAACTGAAACTCTCATAGACGTATGTCACCCTTTGAATACAAGTCTTTTGGTCACTTAGCGGTTGTGTAAAGGCCACAGAAGTCTTTCTGTTGACATCAATAGGCTGTAGAAGAGGACCCCTGCTGTATTTCCTCTTCATTCTGTATTGTTTATGTGTCCAGAAATGCAAGTTTCTAAAGCGAAAAACATGTTTTCCTCAATGTATTTCTTGGCACTGAGTCTTCAAAAAATAATACATGCTACTAGCAGGAAGAGGGAGATTTTGGAAGCAGTGAAGGTATACATTATTTAAAATTAAAAAAAAAAAATACTCAGTTGTAGTTATCTCAAAAAGAACCATAGGCTCAGTCCCTGGAGCCTGAAACTACAATGAGGACACCAGTCAAATGAAAACTTGAATTTTATCTGTAGCTTGGAAAAGGAATACCCTAACAGAGGAAACTAATCTATCACAAGTGACTGAGTATATGGAGATACATGTGCATGTGTATATTGACAGAAAGCCCACCAGAGCTGTAATTTGTTTCCAGAGAAGCTGAAAGGCAGGTAGATGTAGAGGGGAAGTCTCGTAATGGTCTACGTTTCAGTAAAGCTTAACTATTTAGATTTATTGGTGGACAAAGAACATGAGATTTGTAATTTTTTTTTGCAGTAAGGCAGCAGTTTTAGTAAATTTGGTGTGAATCTGTTTATTATTCCCAAGAGTATTTAAAACTAGCTAAAACCTCTGAGTCTACTTGTCTGTGCACCTTCCCAGCAGATATATAGTAATATCATGTTGTCCTGGTTATGTAGAGCTGTATCAGGCAGGCTCTATTATGAAATTCCCATTTTTAACAATTGCCTAGTTAGGAATCTATACCTAAGATATATTTGTGAGTCATTTCAGCGCACCTCAAAATATTTATACATTGACTATTATCCATAGTATTAAAAACAACTGCCATGCCGGTACTACACCAGTAATTGGCAATATCTTGGAGGATTTGAGGTATACTAACTGTCAAAACTTTATATGCAGTTGTCTGACCAAGAGCTAGCACAGAAATAAAGGCTGGGGTTTGGGGATGACACACTGCACACAACCGAAAAAGGTTAGAGAGAAGAGAAGAAAACATCTGAAGAAAAAGAGGGGGAAAAAATGACTATATTTGAAGAATTTCTGCTGTTAAAAAAATTTCCACTTGTTCAGTGCTGATGTAGAAACACTGAAACTACCATCTCTTATTAGTGAAAAAGTGCACTGAACAGTGCCTTGACATATACATGATTACCTAAGGAAAGTGGCCCAGGATTGCAATCGGTTGCATAAACTTGCCACAGGAATGGACACTATTGTTACCTAAGTATTTTCAGTTCTCCATTACCTTATCTTTTTAAAATAAAGAGACTCCAAACTAGTAATAGGCATTTTACATTCTGTTACTTAAAAACCTTTATTACTAAAATATGTATTTTGCCTTCTCACTGTGAGAGAACAACAAAACCGAAAAACACCCACCTTTTAGACACATCCTGATGGTCATTCTGCAAATTATCTTCTCTTGAACAGGACAATTATAAACAAAGACCACCAGATTTATCCCCATCAAGTCAGAGAGAAAAATAAATTAAACCGGCTTTGCCATCATTCCCCTATCTGTGGAAAAGGACGCCAAGGTCATGAGCAGGCTTGCCTGGACTCCCTGCCTGTGCCTTAGCCCTGGGGCCTTCTAAGTGATTGTTCCCCTTTGTTCTTCTGTAGCTTCAAAACGGAACCCTGTACGAATCACAGATGATACTTGTGTTATATTTTTTCTCACAGCCAGTAAATTCCTGAAGTAATATTACGACTTTTGAGCAATCAAGTTACCTTTCAAACAATGGCACAAATGGCATGCAGTTTAGGTAGCTAAACATAGCAGCAGGCAATTGATAAATGTAAATGTAGATATGGATGTACCAGTTAGATTTTTCTTACAGGCTGATAAATCTGACTATTATTAACACTAAAGCACCAGAAGTTATAATTTTTAAAGGAACACATTCAAAAATAAGGCAGAAGAGAATTACCTTGTGTTTATTAAAGTAACCTTTTCTGACATCACCTATTGAGGAGGAAAAAAAAATAATCTTTTTCAAAAGCCTGGTTGTTTGCGAATTTGTAAATGGTTCCATATCCAGTGTCCTCATTCTGCATTTATTTAACATATATATTCATATATATATATACACACATATAAATACTGAGATCATTCTTCCCTAAACTCCAGGTCCTGCCCCTTCATCCCTGCCTACACCAGACAAGGTGCAGGTTGGCAGCTTAGAGAGAGGTAGAACTTGGACCCTTAGCAAACAGTTAATTATGAAATCTGCTCGTCCCAGGCTTGCTTGTGTCAACTTGTACACTCACAACCAGGAAAGTCCTGGTTACCCAGCAATAACACAGTACATCTTGCATATGGACAGCAGCTGCTGGTTCCATATAGGGAACTGGGATAAGGGAAGTTATTCTACCCAAGTTATGCAATGACTAGCTCTGACCATGTATCATTATACTGTAATCTTTATTTCTAACCCTGAAAAAATTCCAAACATCTGATCTAAACACTGCCTGGGAATCTGTCTCCAAATAGCAGCACAACTGACTCTTGAGAACATGTCAGAGGTGTACCTAGTGTGGAGTGATGGATAGCTTACTGTCATGTTTAACACAAGACACCATAACTTTAGTCTTGCTCTTGTTAAAGAAGCCTGTCCCAAAGTAGAGATCTTTTTAAGCGGGAGGTGGATGATTGTTCTGCTGACACACGGATGATGACACAGACCTGAAAGCAGCTGAATGCAGAAGGTCCCTTACCCATCCGTGGAAATAAAAAATCAGCCTTTATATAGAATAAAGTGCATGAACAGGGAGGGGTTGTTTCAGACTCACATTTTTTTTCCCCCATTTCACTTCCCAATTTCTCCGTCCTTCTTTTCGCTCCCTGACTATATTTAATTGTATTTTTTTTACTTCTTAGAGTAAATCAACTCCCTGGTAGCCTTCATGGTTGCTGTTTCTGAATATTTCTGATCCCACAGACTCTGTCCAAACCAATAAATTAAACATGGCTTGCATTCATTTCAAGCACAAAGGCCAGCTGGCACTGAATAGCCTATTTCTATGCCATTAAACACTCTTACCTTCCAAACAGGGTAGTCACGTGTAAATCAATTCTTTGAGAGTGGTCCCTCGCCCATACTAACTCCCAGCACATGCATGTGAATTGTCCACAAGAACATCAGATGCCCCAGGACAAAACTGTGCCAAGAGCTGCTGTAAGAACGTAATGCTATAAAAAAACCAGAGTCAAGTGCTCAAAAAGTTCTCAGTGTGCTGCTTAATTACTTAGTATGGAAATGGTTTTTGTGTCTTACAAAAGAGGAAATGGATCAGATGCATAAGATTTAATTCTGCTTTCCCATCCTCAAGGCGCTAGTTAAGCTTGAAAATAAATATAAAGTAACCATAATCCTTCCTGTCCAAACCATCTTCCCAACTCCTCTAACTCTAGGCCCAAATTTTGTGAACGCTAAAGAAACCTCAGCTTAAATCTCAAGATGGGGTTTATCTTCTCCCGCATACCACAACTGGGATCAAGGAATCACCAGTTCTCCTCAATGGTCAGTATCTATTTTCTCAGATATCTTGGATTTTCACAAGTTCATTAGTCAAAGTATTTTACATATTTTCTACTACTGTAATATCCTTGAACCATAAAGATGTTAACAGATGATGGTACTCGAGCAAAAGGAGAAAGCAGGGTTGTCACTATCTTACAGACAAGAAAACTGAAGAAGAAAGAAGCTAATTAATTTGCCTGTATCTTACAGGCAGAAATGAAACCTGAAGTCAGTTTCTTAATTCCTAGGCTAATGGTTTAACCAACTTGTCTTCTCATCTGTGTAATCTGGGTTTAAAAGGCATGAGCAGATGTTTTCAGTGACTCACTCACTGATACCAGCATGCATATCACTGCTGGGCTCACAGGGCTCAAAAAGATTTGATTTTGAGACAAAGAGCAAACAAAACAAAAACAGATAAAATGGAGGTCAAGTCTGCAAAGTGGTATTTGAAATGTAATTCTTCATCCTCGTTCACATCAAGTATTACAGGTCTTTGTAATTACATATGAATTCAAAGCTGTACACAATCTTCTTGCAGTGTTCCTTTATATACGTGAGCAGTTAAACTGATATCAGTGCAAACAAGAAAGAAAATAAATAAAGTGATACCCAGAAGTGTGTCCATCTTACGCTGTAGTAATTCTGTTTACTTTCATGTTTGATTTTTGCTGACCATTTATGCAAGGGAAAATTCTACCTTGCTAAAATACTTAGCAAGAAAAGATTTTGTCCTCTAATATATCTTTCAAAGAAACATAGAAAATAAATCACAGACCATCAGTGAGAAATAAATGTAAAACATATACTCACATTTGTCTGTATTTCCAAAGTATGCTATACTATCATGATTTTGAGGGAAGGCAGAACGTCAAATCCCTTTGTTCATTTTAAAAATATACAGTCCCATACTATGTACAGTGTTCCAAAAAGCTGAAAAAATAATTTATGTAAGATACTTCAAAATAATATAACCTAAAAAGACTTCTTATAGAAACTGATATGTTTAATAGAAATTATAAAAATCAGCTAATATCTCCCATGTACATGATGCATAAATTTTGAAAACATTCATTTTTTTACTGGAAAGGCATTGCTAACGTATTTCTAAGACGAAACAAACATCTATGCCTGTACTTTCATGGCAACACATTAATCTCTAATGTGTTTAAAGAATGTGTCCTGAAGTCCCGTTGTTCAGTGTGGTACCTTAAAATAAACACACAAAAACTAAAAGAAAACCTGAGTTACTCCGTGTGAGTTGCTGTGTTCTTTACAGCGAGTACTGCTAGGAGGGAAGTTTTAAGTTAGGTTGTTTCTGCCAGTAACTGCGTGAACTTGACCTACTCAGGGCTCTTCTGATCTCTGTCTATATTCAGCGTTGGGGTCCTGCCCTTTATGGGCTAAAATAACTTCCTAGTACTTTTTTGTTTCCTATTATACAAAGGAACCAATTCAACTGTGAGCGAGCGATCTAGATTTCTTCTGGTTCTTCGGGCATCTAAAGAACCACTGCCTAATTCCCAGCTGCTAGTCCAAACTCTGTCTTCATTCATACTGCACAATGCCTTTCTCCACAGAGACATTCTGCAAGTAGGTATGATGCTGAACTGGAAATGAATGAGGATTAAGAGATATTATTAGATATGGTCACTATTAATTAGATATGTTCATAGGAAGGAACTACAAATACTGTGTGTTTTGGGTAGTGGTTTTTTGTGGGTTTTTTAATTTTTTTAGATTCCAAGCTGAATTTCTAGGATGGTCAGTTTATCCACTACTTGTAAACAGGTAAAGCACACTTCTACTTGCAGCTGGTCCTACTTAACTAGGAAATCATTGGGAAATACCTTTTGGCTTTGACAGAGGCCTCTTGAAAACACTTCATTTAGTAGTTCCTAAGAACAAGAAAGAAATCATGTAAAACTTCTACAGTGCCACCATGAAGAGACTTTCCCCCTTGCTGTGTTAGTTATAAACAACAGAAATGCAAAGGTTTATACAAACTATGAAGTAAGCAGTTAATGCAAATAATTTGAAGGGTCCATTTATGTCTGAAGATTCAAGAAAACTGTTCTTGTACTTAACCATGACCCCATACTGTCACTCCTACACCACCCTGATTCATAGCATAGATTTCTTGAATAGTTAACTGTGTCTGTATAGTGGCTGCCACTCTTCATAAATGCAAAAGGATAAAATAATCATCCTTTTGACTCACCAGCTAAACTGTTTTTTTATGTATCTGCTATCTTACCAGGGGTCTCAGCATAAAGTGAAAGAGAATATTGTCAGCTTTTTATTGAATTTGTGTCTCCTTTCTGTCAGACATTGCATTTGCAGGTAAACTTGTTTATAAAATGCATCTAGTGACTGATGAAGATTATCTGCATTGGTAGGACAACAGAAAGAAGCATAATGTATACTGTTTTTTAGCATTTCTTTTGCACAAAGTTATTTGCTGCTTGCAAATACTTATGCACTTAAAGAAATAACTGTTACAACATAGCCTAATGGTTTAAGCACAAGTTGAATGCTAGCTCTACATGTTTCACTGCTAAATTTACCGCTGACTCTGTCTGGTTTTCAGCAAGATTTTTCTTTAAGTCTTTCTCTCTTACATTTCTCCATCTTCTAAATGGGTATACTCCACTTACCTCTTTAATATCTTGAAGATGTAAACAGTGACTAAGTAATAAGTGTTGATTTTCTGCATTCCATTGTGGAAAACAGAATTCAGTTTTAATAATTAGAAACGTTTTCCACAGACTCCATGAAAAGTGATCTGAGAAAAGTTTGCCTCTTTAAATTACAGGTACAACTTCAAATTCTTTAATTTATGTTCTGATAAACATAATCATGTTGATTGATTCCTTACTCCATGAAGAGTAATGGATCAAAGTCTGGTACAAAATGATAAGAAGTTTGCTTCTGATTTCTCCTTAGTACAAATCAGAAATAAACGGAAGTCAAGGGCTTTTAGAAGTCACAGTACTGGGACCAAAACAGTTTATGACAGCTCATGAGCACTGGTGATGACAACAAACATAAATAGTATTCCTTAATGTTTTTCTCCTAAAAATCATTTACAGGTAACCCACTATTAACCAGCAAAGTCAACGTTATAATAAATGTCCTGGATGTCAATGAGTTTCCTCCTGAAATTTCAGTTCCATATGAGACATCTGTATGTGAAAATGCCAAACCAGGACAGGTATTTCAAATTTGTAATGTTTGCTATTTTGCTTTTTCTTTCCTTATTATTTTTAGCAATAGAAATTTCTGGGTTTGAAAATGACATCATTGTTAGAATTATTTTACAAATAAAATGTCTGTGTTGGAAATATTCACCTTTTGAAATTCTGTTTATTGACCTTTATGGTCTTTTTATGGTCTATTTATTTTTATTATCCCTGATTATATGGGCCTGAGCCACCCTTTACTGTGCATATTTAATAGGTATGACAGGAGAAAGAATCCCTTCCTTAAAGACACTTAAACATAAGGGTAAAACTGCAATGAATAAATGGAGTAGGATGGATTACATACATTTCTGTGTCCTATTCTGAGAAAAAGAACCTACAACCCCAAAGACAATCTTCCTGAAAGCTTGTTTTTATAAGCAGTTTCAAATATATACATAGCATGCAAAACCTATTTCAGATTCAGAATATCACCTTATGCTATGAGTGATGCCAGTATTAATAGAACTGGCCCCAGAAGCTGTTGGCATGTGCTCCTTCTGCACAAAATTTGTGCAATTAAACACAGTGCTGCAAAGCACCAAGGCTGACCATCGTACATATTAACAGCTAATGCTGTTTCCAAGTCAAGACTTGTAACTTCAGCGGTTCATAAATTCATTTGTCCATGACTTCATATGATATTCCTACCTCACCTTTTTTTTTTTAATACGTTTCAACTAACTACCATACAACCTAATTTAACTTCTAGTTTATCAGACACCTTTAGTTAGTACCTTATCCAGGCACTAAGAGTAGAAAGGGGAACCTTTTACAAGGAAGGCTGAGATAAGCACTGAGTTGTCAAAAATTATAAATATTTAGACCTTTGTTACATAAAAAAATGCCTTCCTTTTAAAAAGATCAGTGGCAATCCTACTATGAAACATTTTAACTGCACTGTGCTTACCTGAAATCTAGTAGATAGGACTCTGGGACCCAAGAGTTCATGCACGCCTAGATGGTGCAGACCTTTCAACCCTCTCTACTTCATTTCAAGCTGTATAATTAGGGTGCAGCTTTGTGAAGTACTACAACACGTACCAGGCATAGCAGTGATAGTAGTAGCAGATAAAGCGAACTGCCTTTAAGTAATCACTCACCTGAAAACGATCACTAGTATTTTGATACGAAAACCAAATATTAAATACTTCTGCTATGAATACAGGGTAAATCTTTCTGATTTCCTTCAGATATATCAAAGCGAGACCTTCTGAGACATCACGAGTCCTCTGGAGGCTATTGTATTCAGACTTCTTGCCTCCACTGTCCAATATATTAGGGGAATGACAGTAATCCAGCAGGATTTCACTTTCACTGTTTCATTTTATGTTCATTTTGCACTTCTACAAAACTGCTTCTTTTAGAGGAGTGAACTGACTTCAGAATTAATCTTAATCTGGTTTCAGGTGATACAGACTGTCACTGCAGCAGACAAAGATTTGTCACCAACTGGGCAAAGGTTTTCCTTCAGACTGTCAGCTGAGGCTTCCAACAAACCAAATTTCACAGTCCATGACTACAGAAGTAAGTTGCTTACCCATATCTCTCTTTCAGAGCAGCAGGTTATGATTATAATGACAAATATGATTACTTTGTATTACAGTCATGTCTACAGACTAACTTTTTTATTTGACTTTTCTAATTGTTAAACTATCTAGGGCATATATTAATATAAATTCAGGTCTTGCACCTTTTCTCATTTTTAGGGGAAAGGAATTGTCAGAACACCAAAGGCTGAGATTTTTTTTTTTAAAAACACTGCTTCCTGTTTTATTTTCTTCCTTTTATCATTCAGTAACTCAGGAAGAACTCATATGCCAATGCAGGTATACCTTTAAACAAGGCACTACTGCTGCCTTGTTTAAATACTATTACTTTGCTAACTGTTTTCGAAGTACCCAGCTATTGTGCTTTCTGGAGGATGCATAGTCCTGCAGAAGAATTAGTTCTAAATATGGACAGTGCTGCTGCAGTATAACATCCCACAACACTCTTAATAATCTGTAGATTTATATAATTAACATCTCTGATTTTTCCCCCAATTTTTGTCATAACTGATCATCTCTTTTTTCTTTTTCACTTGAATGCTTTTGATAAGTGGCAAAGAACAACCCAAGATGAAAAAATTGATTGTTTTTCTATTGTAAACATCTTCAAGCATGTAGTCTTGTGAACAGACACAGCTAAAACATCATAATAAACTGTAGTAAATTTTCACCACTAATTACTTTAATCAAATAAGGAAAAAAAACACCAAACCATGAGTTTATCAGCTATTAGGTGATCTTTAAAGAACTGTGATATGATAAACTTTTCATTAAAAAAGGGTATACATTACTCTGCAAAGAAAGAACACCTAAAGCCATCCAATAAATTCAGTAACATTTGCCTATTTAACTATGTAGGTTATAAGTATTACTTTTAAGGAAATTATATAATTCTTAATTTTTTATAACTTTACTAATTATATTCATTATTATTTTTAATTTAAATTTGAGATGATACTGAGTATGATGTAAAGGTTCCTTTCTTGAGAATTAAGTAACCCAAGCCCTAAAAAGCATTGATAATACACAGAATGAAAAAAAAAAAATTGCAGAGGCCACTTATTTAGGCTTTTTTAAAACCATTTAAGTATATGACTCACATTATCTTTGAAGCCATACACTTCTGTCAATGTTAGGTGATACAAAATTAAAGCCAACAAAATAAGCACAACTATTAATCATGAAGACCTTTATCATTAAGAAACTTCAGGAGGAAATAAATTTGAAACAGCAGAAATATAAACTGTGCTTATTTTCTTTTTTTATATAGCTCCTCTGTGAAGATGACAAGACAAAAATGGTTCATTCCCAAACTTATCAGTGACTTTTATCTTATGTCATAGATAGCTAAAAATATTTTACAGATGAGCAAAGAATTTCACTTAAAGATTTGTAAATACAGCATATAATGAAACCATAATAATTCATAGTATTGCAGACATGAATAATAGTAACTTATGAAACAAAAAATATGTAGATCAGCATTTTATCAGAGGCCATTCAAATAGTTTTCTTGAGACAGACAGCTCAATGAATATGAAGGACAACCTTACAATGGATTCAAGTCCCCTTGCTTCTATTCTTGGAAGATTAGGTCATAACTTTTCTCCAGAAATACTTAGTCTAAACAGTTCGGTTTTAATAGCTACTAGTATTTAAAAATGTTGTGGCATTCAATATCTAACTATACTTATGCCAAGCAAGATTTAAATGCTTTACATCTGTGTCCCACTGGACGTAAAATTTTGGATAAAGCTTAAGTTTGCTTCCCCTTAATGCTGCACTGTATTTTCTGTTATTTTCTCTTCCCTACTTAGCTCTTGGTAGTATTTCCTTGGAAAATTCAGCATGATGAACTTTGCTAATGTTTATAATTAAAAAGAAAAAAAAACCTTCTCTATATCTTAACAGAAGGAGGAAAATATACCTCTTTAGAGCTACCTCATGTGTTACATGAATTACTTTCAGCTTTTCAATTTTCAACGCATTTGAAGGACCATATGGGTAGTATCTTTGTAATTATGTAGTCTTATAACATGAATACTGTGTATTTGTAAATACCTTTGCTCTTTTGGTCAAGATTTCTTTAAAGTAAAAGCTTAAATTTCTTTATTTCTGTCCATTTATTAAAATATCCTTTAATTTCATCAAGATTTAATGTTTCCAAATAATTACAAACTATTGTTTTTTAGTATAAGTCTTCCAGTTCTTCTCAAGTCATTTTAATATATTTAATTTTTCAAAAGAATCTTTAAACTTAAAAAGGCTATACAGTAATTAAACTCAATGACCTTTCTCATTTACAGATTTTGTGAAGTGTGCTTAGCATATAAGTTTGGTGAGGAAATTGCTCAAATATTACTAGATAATTAAATTTCCCCGTTTAAGACTAGTAATGTTAACACCAATATGACTTTGGATCTCAGTAGTCTGTTAACAAACTTTCTCTACTCTGCAATATTCCCATAAAAAAAGGAATTAGAAACCACCAAGACACAAAATTTTTCATGCATAAATGTTTGTGTGTGTACGTACCTATATACACATTCTTAAAAGCATTTCTTAATACTTACTAAAAAAGAAGAAAGAAGTACACTATTTATTGAAAGATAAGGAAGACAGAAAAAAAGGTTTTGTGGAATATTTTCCAACCATAAAAAACTTTTTAATTTTTGATGATTTTACAGAGCTATGAGAAAAATCTGTCCAAACAGAAACTCTGTACAATATTTTCAGTATTTTCTGCCTTTTGTTTGTCAAAAAGGTGGAAGGTCTGCTCTGTGCACAATTTAGAGGTACAAAACCACAACTTTATTTTCACTACAGAAATCTTTTAAAAACATAAATACCACTATCTTTTGAGTTAGCAGTTATGTTAGTACCAAGCAGGTACTTTGTGAAAGGAATTTTTATTCTTTTTTGAGGAAACAATCTTGTTTACTGTGTTACTATTAACACTTTTAAAGTGTGTCATCTAACATTTTTAAACATATCAAGAAGCCCAATAACCAGTGCTATTTTACACAGCTAAAAATCATGGGTGGTGTGATATTACAGCAGGTGTAATATGTTTGTGCACCCAAGAGAATAAACTTTTCCAGGTTCCATACTTCCTCAGAATATAACTTAATGAGGACAGAAGCAAGACAGAAGCTCAAGGTTGCCATTTGGAGTGTCTTTAAGTATAAACACAGAGAAATGTTATGTTTCTAGACTATGCCTTCAGCAGCACTGAGACCAATCCACCAGCTGTGAATAGAAGTGAGAGGCCCTGGCAGAGCTGGAGGGCTTCCAGCTGAACCACCCACCTTCCTCTTTCCACTTTGCTGGCCTCGCTCTGCTCCCTAGAGGGCTGCTTCCCTGCTGAGCACATTCAGTTGCTCATGTAAGAGAGAGAATTTTCCTTCTCTCCAGACTGCCACACACATCCTGAAAATGAGTTTATTGCCAACGGACTGAAGAACCAGAAACAGTCTCAGCTTCAGACTGCAGCTCCAGGCTGCTCTGTGTAGAGTTCAAACACGTGCCTGTATCCATATTTTCAAAAGGACCTTGAACAATTAAAAGGGGTTGTAGAACAGCAACAAAAATTGTTCAAAGTCAAAGACTTAAGAGCTCAATCTGTTTGATTCTTCTCAAAGGAGAATGGAAAGTCATTTGGTTGCATTGTAATGTGTATTAAAGCCATCTTCCACATTGCAATTAGAAGAAACAAAAAAAGAAAAGAAATAATTCTATTAATAGAAATATAAATAAGACTAAAAATAAGATTAAGCTGGATGACTTCAAATTAGATCTAAAAGTCTTTATACAGTGTAGATGATTAATCATAGAAAGAACAAGCTGAATATGGAAGTTGGTTTGATTCAAACAATTTTGAGACATTTTTCTTTTTCAAAACTAAATGTCACTGAACTTGACATGTCTATGTGCCATGTTTGACTTTGACAAAAAGGGGACTTCTGGAATAAACATTTTGTCAGTCAAGTGTTTTCTCAATGGTGTCTGGTCATAACCTATCTGATTTTGGATATTTAGGGTTCCTTCTCATTGTCCTTAATCAGAACTGCACAGAAGTATTTGAGTGTTGAATTCAGAGCCCTTAATCCTTCTACCTAGTGACAAAACTCCAAGAAGGGATGAAAGTCATAACATGGACAGCAAGTGACCTCTTCTAAAGATATAGTAAAGCACATGGGTGAGATGGCAAAAGGGTGACTGCTGCAGGCTACCTTCATTCAGATCTGTCAGCTAATTAATTCCCTGATAATTTCATTTTGGTTTTGCTTTCAATGTAATTCTTTTAATCTGCACATCATTTCCTTGCTACTCTGTTCGATTCAAGATAAGCAGCGATAACTGAATATCTACTGGGAAGAAATGACAAAACTTAACTTCTAGGAGTCCTGAACACATTCATGACTAATTGATGGAAAATGTACTGATTATAAAGTACTCAGTTCATTTCTGTACTTATTTTTAATGGGGCAGGAAAGCTGAAGGGGTTTTGCATTTTGTCTAGGTACATTACTTTCAGTTTTAAAGGGAAATTAATTAATAAATAGAGACTTGATTCTAAATCCATGTGCAGTCAAAGCCCTTTGGACCACAGGCTTGGAATATAATGAGATAGGGAGAAAAGAAAAACTGAAAAGCTTTCCTAATCTAATACCTGTAATGCTTTTTTTAATTGTTATTTATGTCTTCCTTGAAATTTTAGCTGTCAAGCTAACAAGTTTACAAGAAATGGAATATTATTTAATGTTCTGCAAAAAATAGCTGTACCAGCCAGACTAAAATACCTTCTGTAATGATAAAACAAAGCAATTACATAAAGCATGTCATTCACTGAATTTAGAAAGTGGAATAGCTGCCTGTCACTAAAGGTGATACAAACTACAACGATGAATTGAAGTACACAATAAAAATCCTGTAATGACTGTGTCATGTTTTACAGACAACACAGCTGGGATTGAAACCAGGAGAAATGGTTACAGCAGAAGGCAGCAAGAGCTATACTTTCTTCCAGTAGTAATAGAAGATAGCAGTTACCCTGTCCAGAGCAGCACAAACACAATGACTATCCGTGTTTGCAGATGTGATTCTGATGGTACCATCCTGTCCTGCAATGTGGAAGCAATCTTCTTACCAGTAGGCCTCAGCACAGGAGCACTGATTGCAATCTTGTTATGTATTGCTATACTTCTAGGTTAGTTCTCATGAAACCATGTGAAGTGCATTACTTTGATTATTCACCTGTGAATTAATTTGTGTTGCTATTAGCTTCATCTATTGTTTAACAAAAGCCATTGAAAATGTGTGGCAGTCTATGAGAACTTTTATGCTTCTATGTTTCTAGGAAAGCATCCCAAAGCACTAACCATGACTGTGGATCTGCTAACACCTACATATTTCTTATTGCATGAAGAGAACTAGCTTTCAGTGGAATCCAAACCATAATTTTTTCTCTGAAATAGTTTTGTTTAAATACTTTTCTTGAAGAATTAATATTTTTAGATTATTACTAAGGTAGACAAGTCCTACTGACAGTAACAGCAGTAAGGACTTAGTAAGGGCCTTTATTTAATTCTTCATGCCAACTTGACCAAAGGAGAATGAAGAAATGAGAGAGGAGAAAATAATTGCAATGTAGTCTGTGGCTGGCTAGATCCATGCAAAACTTTACAGGAACATTTTAATTTCAAGCAGGCATGGATTCCATAAGGTGGCATTGTCATTTGATCTACATTACATTTAAATATTGCCTTATTTACAGCATGCCCAAAGCAGTCAATACTCATGTGCAACCTACTTACAATATAGCCTTAATGAACTGATAACAAAATAAAACCAACTTTGTAGCTTACACAGGCACAATGTGGGCTGCAGAAAGCAGACTGATTCTTACAGATGCTAGCCTATGGCTCTTCTTGATACTAGTGGGCTTCCTAGATCTCATGCTACTCCTTATGTACGTCTAATGCATAGGCAAAAATAGCTGCAGACACAGAATATAACATATGGATACCTCTTTGCATTTGGACCAAGTCAAAGAACTCCTTACCAGATCTGCTGCTGATTGATGCTCTTGGCATATACAAAACTAATGAAGATATTTTAATTCCTGCTTTGCACAGAATGCCAGGCTGAATTACTTAGATTATGTTTGGAAAAAAGGTTTTGGTCCTTTAATAAATCCCTTCATTCCAATCAGCCTGGCAAGATTACCCAGAAAAAATAATGTATAAATAGTGAGATCCCCAGTGCTATATGTAACCTAAGAGAATGGCGTTTATCTTATATCCAGACTTTCTCCTTAGTATTCCATTGATCAATTTAAAAACTGCTTTTGGATTTTCATTTCTTGCTGTGAACCTGGCCTGACACAGAGTCATTAAAATTGCAGTTGAAGTCATTCTTGTCGAACTCATTTCTACACAAAAGACAGTCAATATATTACCAGAATCAGGAGTTATTTTAGGTCACACAAGCCTGAGCATGAATTTATAATCATTGCAACTCCTGTATTCATTATTAGGTTACTTCAACAACAGCATTTAGAACACTGTCATTTCTACCAAAGGTAGTTAGGGAATGGAAACTAACAAAAAAGCTGGTGTACTACAAGCAGATTTTGCATTCAGTTAAATATATCTCCAAAGACAAACTGTTGAAAAAACCTCCACAAGCTGATTGCTATTGAGTTGCTATTTGGAAAAAGAACAGTTTGTAACATTTTATATTATACAGAATTGCAAAATCACAGTTAGAAGGCACCTCTGAAGATCATCTAGTCCAATCTCCCTGCTTACAGCAGGGTCAGTTAGAGCAGATTGCTCAGGAACAAATCCAGTTGGGTTTTAAATATCTCCAAGGATGGATACACCACAACTTCTCTGGGCAACATGATCCAATGTGACCATTCTGACAGTAAAGAAGCTTTCTTCTTATGTTTTAATGGAATTTCCTGCATTTCAATTTGTGCCCATTGCCTCTTGTCCTGTCACTGGGCACCACTGAGAAAAACCTGGCTCCATCTTCTTCACTTCCATCCATCAGGTATTTTTCCACATTGATAAGATCCCCCTAAGACTTCTCTTCTCCAGGCTGAATGGTCCCAGCTCTCTCAGCGTCTCCTTGTATGGCAGATGTTCCGATACCTTAATCACCTTTGTGGCTTTGCACTGGGCTCACTCCAGGAAGTCCACATCTGTATTGTACTGAGGAGCCCAGAACTAGACCCAGAACTCTAACCAGTGTCTGACCCTGTGTCTGAGCAGGGCTGAACAGAGGGATATGATCACCTCCCTTGACCTACTGACAATGCTTTTCCTAATGCAGCCCCAAATGCTGTTGGCCGCCTTTGCCACAGGGGCACATTGCTGGCTCATGGTGAACTTGCTGTCCACCAGGACCCTAGGTCCTTTCTATCAAGCTGCTTTCCAGCCAGTCAGCCAACATCTACAGCACATGGTTATTCCTCTCCACATGCGGGACTTAGCATTTCCCTTTGTTGAACTTCATGGCGTTCCTGTTGACACATTCCCCCCAGCCTGGTGAGGTCCCTTTGAATGGCGGCACAACCCCTGTTTTGTATCATCTGCAAACTGCTGAGGGTGCACTCAATCCCATGATTCGGGTCATTTATGAAGATGTTAAACAAAACTGGTCCCAGTATTGACCCCTGGGGTACATCATTAGTGACTGGCCTCCATCTGGTCTTTGGGCTGTTGATCACAACCCTTACAACCTGGCAGTTTGGCCAGCTTTGCAATCCACCTCACCGTCTACTTGTCTAGTCCACACTTTCTCAGTTTTTCTGAGAAATTGTTATGGGAGACAGCATCAAAACTTTGCTAAAGTTAGGATAAAAATAATACACTTTTCTCCCTTCATCCACCCGTCACCTCCTTGTAGAAGGCTACCAGGTGAGTTAAGCACAATTTCACCTTTGTAAATCCATGCTGACTATTCCTGATCCCCTTCCTGTTCTTGATAGGTTTGAAAATGGTTTTCAGAATTATTTGCTCCATCACTTTCCTCAGGATCAAGGTGAGGCTGACTGTCTGTAGTTCCCTAGCTTGTTCTTCTTGCCTGTCTTGAAGATAGGAGTGACACTTGCTCCAGTCCTCAGAAACTTCTCCCAGCCCCATGACTTTTCAAAAATTATCGCAAGTGGCCTCACAATGACATCAGTCATCTCCCTCACCACTCATGTGTGCACCCCATCAGGTCCCATGTCCTTGTGTGTGTCCAGCTTAAGTGTTCCCTAACCTGACCCTCTTCCACCAAGGATAGGACTTTCTTGCTCCAGACTTTCCCTCTGGTCTTAGGGACCTCGGATTCCTGAAGGACAACCTTACCAATAAAGACAGAGGCAAAGAAGACATTGAATAGGTTGGCCTTTTCTGTGTCCTTTGTCAACAGGTCCCCTGCCCCATTCATCACGTGGGCCCACATTTTCCCTACTTTTTCTTTTGCTGCTGTTGTACTTGTAAAGCCCTTCTTTTTGCCATTCATGTCCCTCACGAGATGCAATGCCAGACAGGCTTTGTCTTTCCTAACCGCATCTCTGCATGTTCAGACAGTCACTGTATATTCCTCCTGGTTCACCTGTCTCTGTTTTCACCTCTTACATGCCTCTTTTTTTATCTCTGAGTTTAGTCAGGAGCTCCTTAGTCATCCAGGCAGGCCTCCTGCTGCCTTTGCTTGATTTCCTGCTCATCGGGATGGATCACTGTTGACCTTGGAGGAGGTGATACCTGAAAATCAACCAGCTCTCCTGGACCCCTTTTCTCTCCAGAACCATATCACATGGGATTTTTCAAAGCAGATCCCTGAAGAAGCCAAAGTGTGCTGTATAAAAAGCTGAAGTAGGATTATTTTTTCTCCCTTTCAAAGATTCCAATTTTTTTTTTTTTTTTTTTGTCCTTAATACTGTGTGGTTTTTTTTCTCTGCAATGTGGAAATTTGGGGGATTTTTCTCTATTTTGCTATGGAAGACATTTTTTAAAAAATCCCATATCTCTGTCTCTCTGAACTAAAAAGCTGAAGTCCTGTCTAATTCTATTTTTTCGTAAAGCAGGCCAGTAGGAAAATTGTTTGTTACTTCCTTCAGCAGCACAGCAAGCACTAAGGAGTTACTCATACATCAAACAACAAATGACTTTTCATTGGCTAGAGCACTGCTATTTTTAAAAGAATAGTAGGAGCATATCTGCTAAGGAAAAAAGTCCCTTTGATTGCTTGCAACTTTCAAAGGAAGATATAATGATATCTAATTATTTCTGTGCATGTCTTAACTTCAGTTTTTTCTCGTTACAGTCATTGTGGTACTGTATGTAGCACTACGGAGGCAGAAGAAAAAGAACACCCTGATGACCTCTAAAGAAGACATCAGAGATAATGTTATCCATTATGATGATGAAGGAGGTGGAGAAGAGGACACCCAGGCTTTCGACATAGGTGCCCTGAGGAATCCCAAAGTGATTGAAGATAATAAAATACGCAGGGACATAAAACCAGATACCTTGCGTTTTCCACGTCAAAGACCACCAGTGGAAGATAACACAGACATAAGAGATTTCATTAATCAAAGGCTGCAGGAAAATGATGTAGATCCAGCTGCACCCCCTTACGACTCCTTGGCAACCTATGCTTATGAAGGAAATGGATCTGTTGCAGAGTCTCTCAGCTCTATAGACTCCCTTACTACAGAGGCAGACCAGGATTATGACTATCTGAATGACTGGGGACCTCGCTTTAAGATCTTGGCAGACATGTTTGGAGAAGAAGAAAGTTATAACCCTGACAAAGTCACTTAAGTACAACTACAACAGTGAAATAAAAAGAAAAGTAAACCAACAACAAATTTAAAAGATAAACCTAAGCTTTATAATAGGACAGGATTCCTTTGATTCTAAAACACAGCAACTGTTTCCAGCAAGTTACTACATTTATCATAATGTCAGTTTTGGTTTGATCTGCAAAGGAAGGATAAATCTTGTAATATACACAGGTTTTTTTGTTGTTATTATTTTGTTACTCTGGAATTACACTGAGACAAGCTCAGGCCTATAAGGTACAGTTTACTGACCTGACTTAGAAAGAAGATAGCTTTCTGGCATCACGGTGGAAGAGTGGTAGCTTTTTCGTAATTCCACTAAAGTGCCTATTGAAACTTTTATCATTTAAGTGGTAAAGAGTCTGCTGTGATGGTGTTACAAAACTGAATGGTAAATTGGACAAGAACTTTAAGACAAGAAGCAATAGCAACATGCTGACTTCTTTTAGAATAAAAATGGAGATCACTTCCTGGAGCTTATGTAATAACTAAAACTAAGGCGGGGGGCGTGTGTACATTGTGTTTGGGGGTTACGTTTGGGGTTTTAAAAGAAGAAAACAGTATGTCAAGACGCCATATTTCTTCTTCCAAAATTTCACTGAAAATTTAAATTTAAAATGCTATTGCTCACTCTGAAGAAGTAAAGCCCAAATTAAAAAGGAAAAGATCTTAGCATACATCAATGAATATTTAAAATGTTCATGCAAATATTACATTTTTCCAAAATAATAAAAAGATGAAAGCAGCTATTCCTTTATGTGAAGGAAATTTCCCTTGGCTCCCCCTCTTCTTTTAAAATGAGACTATTACTAGAACGTAAAATGGAGAAGGTTTTTTAAGAGTATTATTGTATTTTTAGTATCAAGACATTTTTTCCCCTTGTAAGTGTCACTGAAGAAGTATATGTAAAGAACTTCACATCACTTTTCTTTGCAATTAGATTGTTACTCTGTAGGTACTTTAGGCGTACATATTATAGAGATAGATATTTTTCAACTGACCATCTGCTACTGTTCAGCATATCATTGTATTTATTTCACTGTCAGACCCACATCAAACATTTTAGAAAGCCTTTTGAGGATGGAAACCTTATTAATTCTGTTCTTACCAAAATATTACCAGGTGCAGAATAAAAATATAAAACAGTACGTTTGTCCACACTTTATGTACATACCCATGTATAAATGTAGCTGTGCAGGTAACAGAAGTACAGATATGCACAAGGCATTATGCCATGGAAAATCTCTTCATCTCTTTCATCTGACTTTTTCTGATGATCTAAGGCATAGACATTTTGTAAGACAATGGCTTATGGCCCCCGAAGTGCATATATCCTTATATTCTCGTTCTAAAATCTCTGCAGTGCTATACAATCTGCTTGAGCTTTACTCACGATTAATGGCACTGGCAAGGTCAGCCCGAGTCTTTCGTGAATCAGAAGTCTTCCATTCACCTCAGGTCTACTTTTTGTACCGCTGAAGAATTAATAACTATCAGATATAGTTAGCTCAGAAGGGTGATATTAATATACACAAAGTTCCCTTTACTCTCTTGGGGAAATGTAAAGGTATTTCAAAGTTGTATAAATTAATCTCCCAATGTGACTTTAAAAGGTGTAGAGTTAAAATAAGTTTTGGATCATTCAGTACAATTGGACAGGGCTGCATTAAAAACACGATTAGCATAGCTTCTACCAGCAGAGTGCTGAGGAAGAGACAGAGCATATGGTAACAAGAAAAGTTTGTGGGTTTTTTCATTATCAGCAAAGGTTTCCTATGTTCCCTGAAAGACAAACTAAGCCAACAAAAGCTCTCTTCTCACAGGACAGGGAAGCAGATGGAGTGGTGGGGCCTGTTTGCCAGGATAGCAATTTTCATGTGGAAGGAGATGTTTTTAATTTTCACACATCTTGACAGCATAGCAAAGGCAACTGCAGAGCGGGCCTAAAACAGAGCTCTGGAAAAAAAAAAATTGCTACTAGTTACAACACAGGTTTGATTCATACAAAATTCACATTTGTGGAGGTACTTAGCAATGCTTCCTCATGTAGCATATGCATAGCAATGCTTCCTACCCTGCTGCCACAGCTAAAATAAGCATCTGACACTGCTCATTTACAGATGTGCAATCCTGTAGTCAAACTCTGCTCTTAGTAACTGTATTAGTCCTTTACATGTATTTCACTAGTAAAGTTAACATAAGTGAGAGCAGCGTTTGACTTTTTGACATCATGTGGCATGCTTACTCCTGGGAAAGTTGTATTTGTAGTGGATACGGGGTGAGCATTAGGTCTCTTGAATAGGTTGGTATTTGTTCCAAGCAGGACAGTCTGTATGGGAGCCTGACTTCCAAAATGGGTAGACAGAAAATGTGGTCTTAAACATGCTGCTACACACAATCCATATTTGAGAGTGAGTTGTTGTATGTTAAATTAATACCAAATTTAATATCAAATGCGTATTTTTGACATTTAAGAGGTTTGTAACTGAGATGTTTCTATCACATAATTAATAAACCTCCAGGAAGATTTAAAAAACAAAAATAATTGGTATGTAATTACTAATGTAATTGTCCTATAAAATCATAATTAAAATCTTTTAAGATCTTTTTTTAAAGAGTGATCAAACAATTTTAACTTAACAAGGGTATTTTTTGTAAACAGCTCTATAGAACTAAGGAAAATAATTGTTTTTCATTTACGCATAACCTGGGATCCAGGAAATTTGTGTTTAATTCCATGTTCTCTCACTCTCTTTCTAAAAGATGCTTGTCTTTTTTTGTCTAGGTTGTCTATAAAAACCTCTGTCTAAGGTTTTTAACACCTTATTTTTTAAAAGGTAATTAGACAAATATGAAATTTATAAGATTTAAAATGTGCCAGAGCATCTCAGATGACATTGAAGTCAATAGGATTAAGGAACCTCAGTGCATTTCTAAATTGTATCAGATAACTACTTTAGTTTTTAAGCATTATAGCTTCAAAAAATCTCTATAAACCTCTGCACAATTAAGATGTTAAAGTGGATGTCTGTCTTTCTCTCAACTCATGGCTCTATGGAAAGAGCCATAAACCTTAAATTCTATCAGAGTGACAGGAAGCTAAGATAATGCTTAAAAGGTACAGAAGGGATAGATTTGAGAGAAATACTTTTGTTTAAATTTCCAAACATAAGATACTGGTGCACAAATACCTAGCATCATCTTAAATGTCTCAACCTTAAAGTGCCCCCCTTCCAAATCACAAGACATTCTGTAAAATGCCTTCTGCACATGAAGGTATTGAGACACTTCACTGGCACAAACAAATCCACGTTTTAAGTTAAATAGTTACAAAATGGACTAGTGGTGCTGAAATAAAAGTCTAAATGTAAAGCATTCAGCTAAGAAGGGAAGTATCTAAGGAAATCTAGCTGATAAGCTTACGTTGTGGACATACAGAACTGAAGACAAATTTATAACAGAACATTCAAAAGGAATTTCAGGGAAGAAGGAAAAAGGTTTCCCTACCCTCCCAAGAAAGCTGAAAATGCCACTACTTAGGAAAGTTCAGGCAATTTCTCTGTGGGATCAGAACACAAAAGATTGCTAATATTTGGATTTAAGAATGCTACCACACAAATCTGAAAATGCTGTTATTCTTTAAGCGCAGATTTGTAATATTTTCAGTGAGTCAAATAGCAAGAATTTGGAAAGCAATGACATTAGATGATGTCTCTTGCACAAAGATATGTTTGAATATTTTATACTTTCAAGATTTTTACTTATTTTATAAATTTGCTCTAAATTTTGTTGTTCAAAATAAAATCACAGTTACTGAGGATTTACTCTAGGTTATGGAAGCAGAGTGCATTATGGAGCAAAGAGCAATGAATGACTCAACAGATTACTGACAATATTATTCTAGACTACCTTGAAAATATTCTTGCCTTAAGAATAAGATGACCATATCCACATAAACACAACTGATCTTTCACACTAGTAAAGAATGTGGTTCTGCAGATGCTATATTCATTTTAGATTTACATCCATTATTGTTAAGAAAGAGTTCTTAAGACTGTGTTGCTGTGAATTAACAAATCTCTATTAAATGAATACAGGAAGAAAATATAATAATCCACTGGGTTATAGGCATTTCATATGACATTAGTGACTAGATTTTACTTATTGAGATTTGGTTTTGCAAATTCTTTGCAGTTATTTTATTAGTTTTATTATTATTATTAACATAGACATTCAAATCCTGTGTGTATAGAAATATTTATGAGTTTTACAAACCTTCATGAAAACAAATAATGAGATGACCCGTAATAATAACCCTACTGAGGTGACATTTAAGTGTGAATGAAAATCAAAGCTTATATTACACCCCTTCACAACCTTCTTTTAATGGCAAATCTATAAAAACCTCATTCCTTTTCCTTCTTATTGAAATCAAGAAACAGATAAGCTGTCAGAACACGAGCAACAGTTGCTATTTTGAGCAAAACTAAGATAAGTTCCTGTTTGTTTGTTTGTTTGTTTTAAATGTTCTATGTATTTAATTGATAAACTTCCTTTATTCAACTTCAATTTGAAACTAAAATCCCCAGATAATTTTTTTCTATCTTACTTTCATTGCTGTGGTCACAGTCAAAACACTTCTCAGGGCTCAGAGGGATCTTATCAATGTGTATAAATATCTGATGGATGGAAGTAAAGAAGATGGAGCCAGGTTTTACTCAGTGGTGCCCAGTGACAGGACAAGAGGCAATGGGCACAAATTGAAATGCAGGAAATTCCATTAAAACATAAGAAGAAAGCTTCTTTACTGTCAGAATGGTCAAGCATTGGATCATGTTGTCCAGAGAAGTTGTGGTGTATCCATCCTTGGAGATATTCAAAACCCAACTGGATTTGTCCCCGAGCAACCTGCTCTAACTGACCCTGCTGTAAGCAGGGAGATTGGACTAGATGATCTTCAGACGTGTCTTCCAACCTCAG